AGCAGTGTAGAGGGATAAATAGGTCAGCCATTGCTTGGTAAATATACCAAGTCCACGGACTATAATTTGGTGCTAAGACCACTATTATGACTTAAAATGCTGGCTCTAAAACAAAAATGAGGAAATATTCTTAAAGAAGGAGGGAAGCTTCCTGCTTGAGTTTTTTGTTTTGTTTTGTTTGCCTAAGTATATACCAAAACATTTTTCAATTCATTTTGAAACTCTATCACAAGTTATCTACAAACATTTCAGTTTTCTTAAAGTAAGATGTATAAAACTGAAAATATCACCAATTAATAAAGCAATATGAACACGTCCGTAGTTATTTGAGACAGCTATTTAAATACATATGAAAGGTAATTAAAATTGATATTAAACTAAATTTTCCTTTTGATGTTCTTGCTGTTGAATTGTTTTGAATTATATCAATCACAGCTATTGAATATTGGGAAAACCTTCCGTTTTACTTTATTATTAATATCAAGCTCTGCAAAAATGTATTCAAGTTCAGAAACATAATCCCTTAATAGACTAGACTTAGTTGCTTCTATAGGGAGTTTTCTATATAAGGTTATGGAGTCACTGTTTATAAGGAACAAGCTTTTAACAAGTCAAACAATCTTGATGCTCTTCGTCTCTGGGGACCAGAATTGGGGATGACTAAGCTCTGTGAGTATACAGTGGTGATAAACACCCCATCTCACATGGATCATTAATAGCAAAGCTCTCCAGTCAACCTCTTATTCAAATTTTGGCACCAACAATGACCAAATAACCTTAGCTGTACACTGAATCTCTTAAAAGCTCTCTTTTTGCAATCAGAAAATGGAGGTAGTTGTAGGTCTTACCTCGTGGAAGTGCCCATGATTAAATGAGATGTTTAGCCAAATATCTGGGCAACCCTGATCTAGTCGAGACCTAAAATTGATCATCACATCAGGCAGTACTCTTAAGCAATTAATAGTTTTTCTCCTGTATTATAGTGACTTTTAATTTGAATTTTAAGAAGCCTGGGGTCAATTTTGATACTCACTTTAACAGTGTATAGGATATTAGAGAATAACTTTCACTTAATAGCATTTTTTCCAGCGTTCCCATCTTATTTTCTTTGTTTTTTATTTCCCTTCATTTTTGCACCCCAGTAGTATATTTGTTTGTTCAACTGAATATATTTGTATGAGTCATCTCAGATCCTTTTTGGAAAGATGCAAGTTAAATAATCAAATAAATAAAAGTAGAAAATTAGAGTTAGTATTAAAGCATAAATACGCACAACCTTTAAAAAGTGTTTCTATTTTAGAATGCCTCTGTGTCCATTATTCCAGATATATGTCTAAAACACAAATATTTATGCATAATGGGTACTTTTAACCTTTCCTGACTTAAAGTCGAGGATGTTGGAGAATCACAGACAGTGGTTAGTACCTTGATTCTGAAATTTCCACAGAAAAGCCTGAACTTCTTAGGAATCAGTCGTTGGCATTATTCTGTTCGGTGGTGATGGTCAAAGTGGAGAGTTGCACAGCTCTCATATTGGGAACATGTTTAAAGAAAACTGTAGTCTATTTATTGGATCTTGTATTTAAAAAAAATAAGTTAGGAATTATCCCAGGAAGTGTCTTCGTAAGTGAAATGAAATTTCTTAACTTACTGCCTGAGACATGTACATGATATTCAATATTATGTATCCAAATATATCTTGGCAGCAATTTCATCTGAGGTGATATGAATGAATCAAAATAAATTAGCTCAAAAATTCCTGATAACCTAAAAGTACTCCCTGACCCTGTAATCATTTAAATATATGAAAAGTAATAAATGAATATTTTAACTACTTCCTTTTAGGCAAGCTTAAGTAAGGGTCGTGGGATATGTAGACTTGTGCATTGATCACTCCCTCCATTTGTTAAGATTCCAAAAAATATAGGTTCAGCACTGTACTTTGAAAGGCCGTAAAATATCTGTGGTTGGGTTTGTTTATTTTTTTTAACAATGTTTTATCACCTCCATTTCAAAAATGAAATTTAGTCAAAGAGTTAATAATTTTGAGTGTACAAGGGTGATTAACATGTGAGGAAACCAATCTAAAGAGGTTAAGTGGTTGTTCATAGTTACTCAGGTAATTAATTGCAAAGCCAAGACCAGAACCTGGCTCTTCAGATTCTCAGCCTACAGGACTTTCAGGTTAAGTGGTTGTTCATAGTTACTCAGGTAATTAATTGCAAAGCCAAGACCAGAACCTGGCTCTTCAGATTCTCAGCCTACAGGACTTTCATTATGGCGTATACATCTGTTTTACTTTAATTCTCATTTTTTTTTTTTTTTTTTTTGTAATTTGAGTGATTTTTCATTGTAATAGTATATAGCTGTAGGATGGTCATTTATTCTCTGGGCAGCTGAGTTTCTTCATAAGTAAAATAAAGGACAGTGGTAATTCAAACGGTTACCCTGTGGTTGTTTACTGTGGTGGAAAAAAAAATGATACATGTAAAGGCTGTAAGAAATGAACAGTTAAAAAATTTGCATTTGTTGAAATTTTTCCCTTTGCATTTTCCAGTCTACATCTCCACAGGAACATGAGTTCATCTTTGTGGTCTCATGGGATCGACTTCGTCATAGCGATGGGTAGATGGGTCAGAATAAAATTTGATTAGAAGAAAATAAGACTGATGGGCCAGTAGTTAGTCTCTATTACTGACAAAGAAACAGGAACGATGACTTTTACACTATAAAAATTATAGTAAGCATAGTATGCATTGCAGAAGTTGGCAAGTCATAAAGACAAGTAGAAGTTTTGATGTCTATATCTCTATTTATATACAGAGGTAATGAGGTCCTAATCACTCATTGGGAAAAAGCAAGGTCATTCCATCCCTAGATGGAATTCACTTATGGAGTGCCTCCTTTACTGGTTGAGCTGCCTCTCTTTCCAATTCATACTTTTAGAAATTGGCACTGACTACTCCACTGTGGCAACACTTTAGGGTAGCGCCCTCATGTTTGATTCCTTTCCTGGCTTTCTCTCATTTTCCAGCCAACTTATTCTCCTAAGCTTTGTACATTACTGTGTTTGGTAAGTCTGTAGTTTAGAGACCTGCTAATTCTAGCTAGTGTATAACCATTCTTTGAACAGTTGAATCTTTTCAGATAATGATTTCACCATGCATAAAGCTTGAGGAATTTAAGCAACATACTAGAATAACTGGGGAGACTTTTCTGGAAAATACTCCACTTAGCAGCCCTGATGTAAAACCATAAGTGATTACATGTGAAGACAAGGTGTAATGGCAGTGGAGAGCTCTGATTTATATTTTTGTTATAGTATTGAATCCCTAAAATACCCATCTCTGTTTGTGAATGCCTATTTAGGAAGGAAAACAGTGTGATTCTACCTTGACAAAATTACTGAGTGGGAAAAATTTGTCTTCCAGGATTCAAGAAGGCCTAGTCTCTCAAATTCCTATTTTCATCTTCCCTAAATAAAGCACCTTATTATTATTTCCATCTGTCCCTCAAAACTTTAAGTCCTTTATTTAGGTGAATGGTCAAATGATTCAGTATCACAAGTTTTACCTTTATAAATGATGATTCGATGTTAGCAAAATTGGTTGTTTTAACTAAAGGTTTAAAGTTAGCCCCATTCCACAAAACTTTGGACCTCACCAGTTTCAGAGTAGAGAAATAGAAGTTAATACATTCGTAATAGAGTTTCTCTTTTCTCAGAAATAGGCAGTGTATGAGTGGGCAAAGTGCTATCAATTTTCATATTTCATACTGCTGTCTGGGTTTGAGTGTTCTGGTTACCAGTATTTCACCTTCTTTGTCAGATGCATTAGGAGCTGACCTTTGGGAAATGAAGTTATCTTCTAACTTGTCAATATTTCCAAGGAGCCTCTTTAAGAAATCTTCAGCATGCAGGGTTTCGTATTAATTCTCTCTCATCCTCAAAGGCTCTCACATTATCATTTACCAACCTTTAGTAGTGAACTGCCATATGCAATTACATAGCTTCAACAAACAAACAAATACACACTTATGAGAGGTTTGCCAGATTCTGGCTTTCTAAAATTAAATGTATGTTAACTAAAACAAATAATTTGTAATTTCTGAAGTAGGGGTGAATGCATAAACACCAGCCCACATCACAGTGGTAGAAAGTAGTTCCCCATCAGTTTTAACAGTCATTCCCACTGTACTGAGTACTACCACATTAACAGCCCTGATAGTTTCCATTCTTGGACAGTTTGATTTTGGACGTGACTTTCAAAACCAGTTTCAAGTGGAAACATTTTTTCTGAGTTGTTGTTCATCTGGAATTAAATGGACTTGCTTTGCGAATATTTATTGTAGAATTGGGATTTTTTGTTATACATAGAAAAGTAAATATAAAAGTCATAATGGAATGACTTTTCCGTGTAGCACTTTACATTAAAGTTTGTGAAAAATAATTCTTTCTGTATTTAAAAACATAGGATATTTACCTTACCTATTAAGTTGAATCAAAGCATTTCAATTAATAAACTTATAAAAGATGTTAATTTGTGCATATCACAACTTATTTCCATTGTACATTTTTTTACACACTGAACAAATATTTAAAAAATTTTTTCCAGTTTTATTGAATTATAGTTGATGTGTAATGTTGTATTAGTTTAAGGTTATGACATATTGATTTGATATATGTACATATCAAGAAGTGCTTACCACAATAAGTTTAGTTAATATCCATCACCTAACATAGTTAGAATATTTTTCTGTTGATTCGAACTTTTAAGATCTACTATCTTAGCAATTTTCAAATACACAACTAAGTATTGTTGATGCACTATATATTTTAAATCTTTTTGAGTAATAAATTTTAAAGACTTTGTATTTATGATAAAATGAATGTTAATTGCACAGTATTAATTGGTATGAAAATAGAGCCATGAGAAAAGTGTTATAAAGTTATTTATATTTTCTCTTGTGTTTAGTGTACATTTTGTTTTGCATTTCAGAGCTCTTGGATCTAAACAGAACGTCAGTCTTCCATAGCCCTTTTGGATTTCTTGATCTCCAGACAATGCTGCTGGATGAATATCAAGAGAGACTCTTCGTGGGAGGCAAGGATCTTGTGTATTCCCTCAGCTTAGAACACATCGGCAGTGACTATAGAGAGGTATGGAAACAGCAAACTATATTTCAGGAGGGAAAGAAAAGGAGGAAGGGAGATATCTTCTTGTGTGGGTGTTACTTGGATTAGATTTTTCATTGTCTTGGCCATTTAACATTCTGAGTGATAATATTATTGAAATAAATAAAATATTCATTAAAATCATTTTGAGGAAAAGTTATAAATGATGGAGAATGAACTTTTCTAGCACACTACAGATCTCTGTGTCCCCAGAAGACTTCTGATTGGTGCACTGGACATTTCTCTTGCCTGATGGCCCTTGTCACCACACCCACTGTCCTGACACCTGGGTTTGGAGTATGCTGATTTAAAGTGCCTTTAGGCCTTATTACTCCAGAAATCCCAGCCTGAAGAAATACGGATGTGTGAACTCAGTGTAGCTAACTCATGTATTGCTGTTGGTAAGATCACTAATTCAGGTGGATGCTTTTTAAACCTGAAGGACTAAATTATATTAAAATAGGCGATCACCCAACTTTTCTGAGAAAGATTAACTGTAAGAAGAAAAATGGTTCTTATAATCTATGCTTATAGAGTTGAATTGAGCTAATATGTTTCCAGAAATATTGATATATCAACCTTATATAAAACATGCAGAAATATTTATAGACCATAGGATATTTTTGGCATAAATGTATGTATTACATAATACATTTTCTTTATAATTTACTTATTTTTATGTTTGTCGAAATGTACGATGTCCATATATTTTAAAGTCATTTTTTAAAAATGTATCATAAAAAGCAACATACCTTCATCCCTGACAGTTCCTCATCTCTAGAGGAAATCATGTAAAACTCTCATTTCTTCTGGTTCTTACCTCCATATGTCTAAATAACATTTGTGTACTGTTCTTTTTCGGTATCGTTAATTTTAGATAATATCTGTTGACTTTCTGTAAAGGAAGATGAGTATTTTAGCTTTCTTTTCTTGCAGTACCATAGCTAAAATATCTGCACTGTTTCACCAGCAACCCCTACTCATCTGCCCAGTCATCTTCCCAATAGAGCTGTACCACAACTTTTAGCTAAGTAATAACTATTTACATTATTATAACTGGGAAAATGGATCACACTTCTTCCCGCCACCCCAGATGAAATATTTTCTGTTTCATTTGCTTAGATTACTTTTACTCATTTTTCACCAAACTTTCTACCAGAGTTCTTATACTCCTCTTAATACTGTAAACCATATGGCTTTCCACATCAGTTTTTGGGTTTTAAGTGATATGCGTCCTTCCTGATTCTCTTGTCAGTTGAACTGCAGCATCATGCTGGAGCATCCCCTCAACCTCCCACTTGGGTGATATTCTTTCGTAGTTTAGTCTGACATTTTACTGAAACACACCTTCAATTAGCTTGCTGAAGAAAGATCCAAAGTAAAATTTTGAGGTTTTTTTTAATGTTTAAAAATAATATTTTTTAGGCTCCACACAGAATTGGTAGATGCATGTAAAATTCTAGAATGGAAGTCATTTGCTCCAGAATTTTGAGGATAGTGTTCCATTCTTTTCAGACTTCAAGTATAGCTGCAGAGAAGTGCGATACCATTCTAATTTCAAAATGTTATTTATAAGCTGTTTCCTGCCACCCTGTTCCCCTAATCCTGTCCTCATGCCCTTCTATGTTTTAACATTTTCTCAAATTTTCTTAAAGGTTTGATCTGTTTTTCATTCACTGTGTTGAGACACAGTGGGGCTTCTGCAGGGGAAAGCCTTGGCCTATCAGCTCTGGAAAATGTTATTATTTCTTTGAGGTTTTCCCTTCTTTTCCATTTTCCTCCTGACTCTCTTTCTGGGACTCCTATAAGGCCGAGATTTGTTCTCAATTGTCTGGCCTGCTGTTTATTATACAGACATTGAACGATTTCTCCTGATTTCACCCACACCCACCCCTTTTCCCATTTTCAGAAGAGCCCTAGACTTCTAATTCCTGAGAATCTTTCAAGTTCTTTTTCATGAATCAGCTTGTTTATTGGCTCCCTTCACCTTGCAGGCATTTAGATTTCAGCTTTTCTCGTGTGGAAAGCCAGTCAACACTTGTCCATATGTTGTAGAACTTCCAAAATGTTGCTAATATTTCTTTGGCATCTCCACTCAAGTTCTATTTGTCCTTTTTGCATTGTGTCCTTTGGCTACTATTTTAGCTGCAGGATGAAGTGGAGACACATAATGTGTTTAACTCTTTCCTTTTTTTTTCTATCATCCTTAATTTTATTTTCTCTGCAGTTCTCAAAAGAGATGATTGCTCTCTCTCTCTCTCAATGTCTATCTAAACTGTATATTATAAAATTGTATATGTATTTATATATATATAATATAAATATGCAATATTTGTATTATACACACACATCATTTGGGGGGATTTTTAAATTAAAGAATTGTTGATTTCCAATGTTTCAGATGTACAGCAAAGTGATTCAGTTATGTATATGTGGTTATACATATATTCTTTTTCAGATTCTTTTCCATTATAGGTTATTACAAGATACTGAATATAGTTCCCTCTGCTATACAGTAGGACTTTGTTGTTTATCAACTTAATATATAGTAGTTTATATCTGCTAATCCCAAACTCCTAATTTATCTCTCCCCCCACTGCCAGTCCCCTCTGGTAACCATAAGTTTGTTTTCTATGTCTGTGAGCCTATTTCTGTTTTGTAAATAAGTTCATTTGTGTCATATTTTAGTTTCCACATATAAGCGATATCATATGCTATCTGTCTTTGTCTGACTTCACTTAGTATAATAATCTCTAGGTCCATCCATGTTGCTACAAATGACATTATTTCATGAGTAATATTCCATTGTATATATATATACTACATCTTCTTTATCCATTCATCTGTTGATAGACATTTAGGTTGTTTCCATGTCTTGGCTATTGTAAATAGTGCTGATGTGAACATTGAGGGGCATATATCTTATCAAATTGGAGTTTTTGTCTTTTCCAGGTATACACACATAAATCTTTAAGACCATCAATGACCTCCTTTTTCCAGACAAATTCAATGGATTTTCCTCTCCCTGTTTTGGATGGTCATTTTCCTCCTAACTGTGGTGTTCACCACGTGGCCCCCTTCTTTTTCTCTCGGTTAGATCATCTGCACACTCCAGTTCTTTGAAGGAATAGCTAAGCTAGGGGTGGTTAGAATGGGGGCCATGGAATAATCTCTGTTATGGGCTGATTTCCTCCCCCAACCCCTAATTCATATGTTGAAGCCCTAACTCCCAGTCCTGAGAATGTGACTTTAAAGCTGTGATTAAGTTAAAATGAGGCAATTAGGGTGGGCCTAATCCAGTCTGACTGGTGTTCTTATAAAAAGAGGAAATTTGGATACATTAAAGAGACATCAGGGATGTGTGCCCATAGAGGGAAGGCCATGTGACGACACAGTGAGAAGGCAGCCATCTGCAGGCCAAGGAGAGGCCTCAGAAGAAACCAGAGGTGCCAACACCTTGAACTTGGACTTCTAGCCTCCAGAACTATGAGAAAAGAAATTTCTGTTATTTAAGCCATCCAGTCTGTAACATTTTGTTATAGCAGCCATAGCAAACTAATAAAATCTCCATATTAAAATTATAAGTATGTGAATATGGAAAGATCCTTCAAGGGATCCGACACCCAGAAGATTAAGAATCTTTGCATTAAGGAAGTGGTTCTCAAGTTGCTGTCCTTGGATCTGGATCCTGTAAGTCACATGGAGTGGGTCCCTGAAATCCACATTTATGACATGCTTTCTAGATGACTTTTTAAAAAATTTTTTTTTATGCGGTACGCGGGCCTCTCACTGCTGTGGCCTCTCCCGTTGCGGAGCACAGGCTCCAGACGCGCAGGCCCAGCGGCCACGGCTCATGGGCCCAGCCGCTCTGCGGCACGTGGGATCTTCCCGGACCGGGGCACGAACCCGTGTCCCCTGCATTGGCAGGCGGACTCTCAACCACTGCACCACCAGGGAAGCCCTCTAGATGACTTTTATATACACAAAATCTCATAACAGTTTTCCTGAGCCCTCATTTCCTATGTGGAACTAAGGCCAGGAGTTAGCAGCTTCCCACTTTAATGTGATTCTGCTTTAGAGTAGGGGAAATTGAATAACCTACTTTTCCTTTATTGTTTTGGCCTAATTGTACCCTGAGGCCTTTAATGCTAGAAAGACTGCTTTAATGGAGGAAATGACCTGTGAAGACTATATAAGGATAAGAAACCTGGAGAGTGATGAGTATTTATGAACTGCATCTTAGGGAGCTAAATAGGATAGTATCTGGCTGTTGAAGCTTCAGGGTTCCATCCAGCAAGGATGTCAAGGAAAGTAGCTATACAAATTATTAAACTGAATAACCTTGCTGCATTCAAGGGTAAATCCTTGTTTTGTGGGACCTGAAGTATATACAGTTTGCTGGGCCACTTCAGGAAATATAATTCAAACTTAAATTTCAAAATTGCTAACGCCCCTCCCAGGGCCACAGAAGGGCTGGGTACTCATGAGGAATTCTGAGAGGTAAGCTACGTTAGCTCTGAGGTGACATTACCCCACCTGCATTTGTTATTTTGTACTTTTCTTGCCTATTTCCACAGAATGATGAGCAATAAAACTCCACATAGACTTTCTGCATTTATTTTCAGTAACAGCAGAGTTAGACAAGGTCTACTTCATAGACAGTCTGTTTAAAAAAAGTAGACTTAAGAATGAGAGCTGGTGCCTCAGTGCTGTCCAGGCTCTGAAGATGTGATGTTTCTGCTTCTTGGCCAAGTTCTCCCTCTGTCTTTCCTGGACCTTACTCCTTCATTTGTTTACCTGTTGTTATATCTTTCATCTCTCCCGCTTTATCTTTGGGTTTCTTAACCTCAATACTGTTAACATTTGGAATAAGTCTAGGTTGGAGCAGAGGGTGTCCTGTGCCATTGTAGGATGTTTAGCTGTATCCCTGGCTTCTATCCAATACACTCCAGTAGAATGCTCCTCCCCCCTGAGTCATGATAACC